GGCCATGTGGCGCACAGTAGAGGGGGGCTTCAGGCTGAATGTCAACAGCATGATCCGGTGGAACAAGTCCAGCCTCACTGGATGTCACTGTTGGATTAGTTGGTGACATGCTGACAAGTTGAAGCGGGACAAACTAGCCTTTATAATCCTCTGTAAACACCCAAACATGGTTAGTATGCTCCATAAATATACAGATGTAATGCTGAGAGTTTAAATCAAAATTTTACTGCTGGAAAAAATGAAGATCCCAGATAAGCATCAGGACAAACACCTGGATAAAATACAGTAATCTGGCATCTGTATGAACATGATGGCACAAGTCATTCTGTTATGATGCTAGCGTGCAACTCACATGATGTTGTAGGCAAGATAAAGCAAATTAAAGCAGGTTATTTCAACTGTTCTTCCATTAATAATTATTCTTCAAATGTGCAGAAGCTGTATTTTTATTAATTAGTATCTCCTTGGTGATAGAAGTCATTTGAATGAGGTTAGACATACAGCATACTCACATGTTCAGCCTATTTGGAACGGCGGTTTCCATAATCGGACAGTGGCGCCTGCTTCGTTATCAAATAATACAAAATTATTAAAATCCAGCAGGCTTTAATGCGGCAGAGATATTCTTCTAGTCCCAATCCGGGATGAAAGCCTCTCTCCCCGGCTCCTAATGCTCCCTGTCTCCGACCATGTGGAGATGCCGGCACATATGCGAAAACAAAGCCCATTTTACGCACAGCACCACCCTCCTGTGTGTGTGTGTGTGTGTGTGTGTGTGCGTGTGTGTGTATGCACGCGAATCCATGGAGAAATAATCGAGGAATATAACGTCCATTCCGGGCTGTCAAAAACACTGCAGCAGGGCCCGGGGAAGAGAAAATGAGAGTGAGGAAGGAGAAAGCGCCTCGGCTATCAGAGTGTCAGATGTGAGGGGGCGCAGGAGGCGGAGGGCCGCCCGGGGGGCCTCGGGGTCAGACTGCCAGGGGAGACGCGCGGTGTCCACAGAATTAGGCATGCTCATTGGCACACGCACACACACACACACACACACACACACACACACACACACACACACACACATACGCACACACATGGGTGAGCACCAGAGATGAGGGGTGGACGTAGCGGACAGGCAGAGACAACACAAGGTAGAGACAGGAAGAGAGACAAGTTGACATCACGAGACAGGCTTTTAAATAAATGCTGCCAAACTTATCCAACACATAAACAGGCACCGCGTGCGTAAATGGTTCCTGGATCTCAATATGGGGTCCAAGGACCCTTCTAAAAGCCACCAATGGGGTCTCCAGAGCTTCTCAAACAAAGTGAGGAGTAATTTAACATTTCTATGATGCACTAAACACCCATCATGCACCGCTTTTAAACTCAGCGCAGAAACTGTACAGCACAACAGCTACAGTATTCAAATCAATAATAACCATAATAGCTTTGTCCTGAATAAAGGTACAGGGTGCAACATGTGCAACAACAGCACAGTCACCTGACTGGATGACAGGCCCTGGGCAATACATCACACAACTGGCCCTGCTTAAAGATTGGTTGACAATAAAGCATCCGTCTTTCAGCCACACCCTGTCTGTGTAAATAAGGACAGAAAGTTTGTTCCTATGAAGGAAAACTGAGCGAGCAGGGAGTCACGTGGAGTCAGCAAGGTGCAGGTTACAGGACAGAACAACCTGCAGGTTACTGGACCAGACACTTTAATAGAAAAGCGTCAGAGTTAGCAGCATAAATTGCACTTTTTATTAAAAATCTAAATCATCTGAATTTTATTTAACACAGAAAACGATCAGTATTATTCTATTATTTTGTATTTTTTGTATTTTGGCTAAAACGACTCTCAAAAACGCGCCACATTTATGTTTTAATTCGAAATTTCAGCACGTTTAATGGACAAAATGCAGATTAAAGCATCACTGTGCGCTTTAAATCATTGGACTACACCACAGCCACTGCTGCTGTATTAATAGGAGCCTATTATGTTGGCGTATCAACCTTCAGCTGCACATGTCAGAGCTCCACAGCACACAATGTACGATGAATTCAAAAATATGAATTTTATTTAAAATCATAGATGACACAAAGTTCAATTCAAATGCGAAATAAGGAAACGCATATATTTTCACGGTTACAGTGTGTGTGTGGGTGTGTGTGTGTCCTGTGTCTAATTTGAATTTTAATCAGCCAGTTTTCTGCACACCAGCGAATAAAGTTGTTTCTTTGCGAAGGAATACTTATATGAAATTATCACAGCCTTTCTCCAGCTATGGGATGTGGGCTCTCACAATAGCAGATATACAGGAAATATTTTTATACCTTTCAAAATAAGAACCCTGCTTTCATTAATTCCATATTTGCTAAGGTGCGCTGCCGTCGCCATTGTTTGAGAGACTAAAAATACAGGATAGAAATTACAGTTCATTTTATTTTCATATCATCTCAACTTTGATTTAATGCCATAACTACTGTAAATAAAAAGTGACATTAAGTGTTGTGTATTTTCTACAAAAACTGGTAGAAATAATATTTATATAGAAATAAATAGAATTTATTTTAAAATGTTTTGTTTAAGTGGAGAATTAAAAAAGAAGTTTAACTGTAAGGTCAAAAGTCAAAGTGTGTGTGTGTGTGTGTGTGTGTGTGAGAGAGAGAGAGAGAGAGAGAGAGAGAGAGAGAGAGTGTGTGTGTGTGTGTGTGTGTGTGTGTGTGTGTCAGATTTTTTGGCTCTGCCTCTGCCCCTGCTGAAAACATAATCGTACTGTAGCCTACATTAATGCTGATTGACTCTCAGCTCTGCCTCTCATCAGCCTCACGTGAATCCATCTGGACACGCCCCCCTGACTGCGTCACGTCCTGTGAGACACACAGTACAGTAAGGTGTGTGCTGTGACAAGGGGCATCTCAAACTGACTCCTTTTCTATTCTATTCTAGTGTATTGTAGTCTGTGCATGTCACGTGCACTGTATTATCCTTTGCTTATTTGTCTTAGACATCTTAAACAATAATAATCAGACATCAGTCATGTAATAATGATCTCACCTGTCATATTGTTTTGTTTATTTTGTTTGTTAAACACGCCGGATTCAAACCGGAAAAGAAATAAATCTTTATGTCTCATTTTGTCTTTTATTCTGTCATAACTCACCTTAAAAACAAAATCAAAATATGCTTGTAAATAAAGTTTCAGTTTCATGTATTAAACCCGCCGTATTAAACATATCCTGACAGTACAGACTCGAGTTCAGCACCTCCAGTGAAAAGTACAGTCTCTGTCCTTGGTGCTGAAACGAATGAAATTAATTCACGGCGCTGTTTTGAAGTCAGGGGTTAAAAGAAAAATATTTAAATAATTTGGATTTTTTCAGGCACAGCTAAACCTACAAATAAAATCTAAAATAAATTAAGAAATTAAACCTGGGCAGCCGTTTAAAACGTGAGAAAATAATTTTAATATTCTGATCGAGGAGTCATTTAACAGTGTGACACAGCAGCTCACATACAGTGACAGTTTTCCATTTTAACTATTTTTTTAAATAAAATAATGAAATAAATCGCACTGAGAATGATGATCTAAATGTACATACAGATTTCTAGAAATAACAATTTTAATTTTGTTTTCTACTTGCTATAAGTGGCGTATATGCCAGAATAAAACGCACGATTAACTCTAACGTTATACCTAAATATTATATTTATATAAGCCGAATTTTACATGTGATAATATCAGTTATTAAGTCGATATTTGAGGCGAAACTCTGAGTGCTCAAGTTAATTCAGGTTAAATCTAATAAATCAACCTTACAAAAATTAATACAGCGCCACTTTTGTAAGTTTGATTTTATGTAGCATGAGAAAATATGTGTTTTAATTTGATGTGTATATAGGTGGGTGATAATGTGGCAGCTCAGTTTACAGTAGGCCTACACCTGTTGCACTGTGGTATATGGGAAAGAAAGAAAGAAAGAAAGAAAGAAAGAAAGAAAGAAAGAAAGAAAGAAAGACTATCATTTAAAAACTACCTTTTAATCCTTTTAAAAATGTATAAATCCGGTAGTTTTATTTTGCCTATAAATTAAATTCAAACTATAAAAATGGCGACACACTCACACAACTGTATTTGAATAAAAAATATCAGATATTTAATTTGATTTAGCCCAACTATTCATTTTGGTTTAAGAGAGAAGAGATCTATCCATGGAAATATATATCCAGAAAAAAATAATCCATGTCAGTGTCTTCTCTCTCTCTTTAAAGAAAGTTTGGCAAATAAACTTCAACATTTACACTAAAAAAAACTAGCCTAAATAAAAGTGACTTTTTTGTGTTTCCCAGAATTTGATGTCTCTCTATTGTGGATAAACTGCAAAGGCCTGATTAATTAATTTCACACTGTAGCTCCGGAGAAGATTTTCCCACAAATAAGTGACCAGAAACAGAAAGAAAGAAAAGAAAGAAAAGAGAAAGAAGAAGAAAAAAAAACTCGCCCAAGGAAAGAAAGAAAAAAAGTCAACATCAAGTTCAACAACGTGCTGGTGCTCATTAGCATCACAATGCTGTCTGGGAGCACACAAGTCTTCTTAACAAGAGGCTCTGGCGTCAAGTCCCTCCACCTCCCAGCCGAGGGGACATTTTCCCAGGCTCTGCTAACAATCACACAACTGTTTGCTTTATAAACGCACAGCTCTGGGGCCACTCAGCCCGCCTCATCACCGCTCAATGGATGCTCCCGCCGCTAATATGGGATGGAGCAGCCTGCTGCCACTCAGCACTTTGGGGCTCAGGCCTATATCAGTTCACTATCAGTTTAAATTTAACCATAATGTCAGTCTTACTGGAGTGTTGTGCTGTTATTTAACATTATTTTTGTGCCTATTTCCTGCAACTTTATATTGTTATATCATGATTATATTATTATTATAGCATCCACATTCTCACAGCCTGTAAATCCACAAATAAAACATTCATAAATCATACTTACACGCCATAAACTTTGAATAAATCCCGCAACTCCGGTTCGAGTCCATTCAGCATTTTAAATACAAGTTTCTCTCAAAGTGGAGCCAAACTATCACAGCCAGGAGTCCAGGGAGAAACCCAAACGCCGCACGCCTTCACTGCCTGAGAATCATCATCACCACGAGCTGATCCAGACTACAGGATTTAGTTTTACGCACTGACATGACTTTTGCATCACCAGTGGCCGAAAACAAGCCGAGGCCGAGGTGACACCGCTGCCAGCAGCATCCCGCTCCCGCATCCCAACATCTCCTCAGCAGCCGCGGATGACAGTGTGTGCGCGGAGCTGCTGCGTCGCTGGTCCCCTCCTCTCCTCTCTCTCTCCACCTCTCTCTCCCTCACACACACACACATGCACACACACACACACACACACACACACACACACACACCGGCTGCTATAGGGATGACGTGCACAGAAACCCAAACACATTTCGCACCGCTTATGCGTTGACCATTGTGAACTGGTGTCCATTGTTCTGTTTGAATGACGCGTCTCCCTCTTTAGTTGCACCCGACATTGGTTCTGGCAGCATTTGATAGACGTGGTGAGCGACGTGGCTGCAGCTTCTGTGGCTGCGCTTCGGTGCAGGGAGGAAGCGGTGGAGGTGGTGGTGGAGGAAGGAAGGAAGGAAGGCACCGCTGAGGACCTTTAGGAGGCAACAGATCCCCAATTTTGGGGGGAATTTGTCGGGTGGAGGGAAGGATGCATCAAAAAGCTTTAGCGCGACGCCACGTGATGTTACAGCACACCACTGGCAGAGGGTGTTATCACCAATGTGCCACAGAAGATACCAACACTCTCCATCCCCTGCACACTCCATCATATCCATCCTCCCCCTGTCTCCTCACAGTCAGCTGCACACTGAGCACACTCAGGTCCTGATGGCACCGGGCACAGAGTCAGCATTGGGGCAGGAGTGAGACCTCGACTCAACAGTGATCTCCAAACCTGCACCATGCCTGACTGAAGCACCTGAGTCAACAGCTTGCAGGACGACACAGCCACAGCGAGCCATTAACCAGCAGCAGCGATTTAAATGTTGTAGTGTCCTCACGTTTCTAATCAGGCTGCAGGAAAAAATGCGTAAAACAGAACCGATCTGTGAGGGATGGGGACGAATGAGCGCAGCACGTAGCAGCCGAGTGTGTGAAGCTGTTGCCGCAGCCTCAGCAGCGCCAGGAGGAGCAGATGCTTCCCCGGAGCTCCTGCGGGTCACGTTTCTTTACGTGCTGCGACGTCTCCCTTTCTCTCTGTGCGTAACGGAGCGCACGGTGGACATTCATGTGCCAGATGTCAATCACAGACAGAGTGAAAACTACTGAATTAAGCCAGTAAAAAAAAAGAACTACAGACTGTGCATACACACAGAGAGTCAACGCTGCGTGCAACGAAACCAGCCCTGGAAATGAGCGTGATTGTTTACGCGCTGACGTCAGGCGCAGGGATAGGTTAATCCAAATATGTTATCCAATGCGCCAGGCTCGCTCGTGGGGCTCAACAGGACTGAAGTCTACTTGACTACCGCTGTACTTACAGGCACATCTTTATTTTGTTGCATTTTAGATGGATTTTAAAAGAAAATTTTTAAAAGGCACTTTGAATGAAAAATAAATAAATACAATAAATAAAAAATCAGTGTGTGTATCATATATATGTGTGTCCAGATGCATATTTAGCAGAAGTCAGAATTTGGTGAAAATTAGACCATGATAAAAATCTATCTAAGAAACTATATTCTTCATTACTTGGAAGCCCAAAAGCTTTTTGGTGCAAATGATGATTTAAAAAAATAATGAATTTAAAAAAGGAGGAGAAGAAGAAGAAGAAGAAGAAGCCAAATAGACCATCCACTATTTAATATTCTACACTTTTTCTTTATTCTACTTTTGAAAATTATTATTTTACACTTTAAAGCAGACTAATAAAATGTATTATTATTAATATTATTATTATTATTATTATTATTACTATTACTACAGCAATTTAGGCCTATGTAATCTCCAGTATAAGTAAAATCCAGTCTGACACATGGAATTAAATTAAGATTCTAGTTTCCTTTCTATTAAATCTAAGACGATATTGAAATTAAAGCTTGACTTTACGCACATTTGAATTAAGTTATATTTCATATCTACAGACCCAGGCCTACATGTATCTTTTACTTTATTTTCCTCTGTAGAATAAGCCACAATAGTGTGCAAGGAGCTGAGATTTAAATGACAAACGAACTGTTATTTGAGCTCTAAAAATAGCCTTTTAAAATAGAGTCTTATTATACGTCCATAATCATATATGGTCTAATAGGGACTGCGCATTCAAACAAACTAAAAAAATCTGCACAAACAACGTCATGGAGAGCAACAGCAAAATATCCAGTGTCCTCTACAAACTCCACATCGCACAACACTATATTACTAATCAAACATCTCAGTGCACACCAGGAATATTGGCGCGGAACAGTGACACCTATTGGCCGAGAGGCAGCACTGCAGCTCGGGCCTGTCTCAGGTCTGACTGGCCTAAATCCTCAGCACGTTGAAAACTCCACTACATTACGGCATAAAACCCCTTAAAACAATATGGCAACATTGTTTTAGAAACACAGCGACTAAATGTGTGCAGCCGAATATTTTAGAGGTGTAAACAGCGCAGATGAAGTGATCGTGTGTGTGAAGCAGGAGGTGACAGGCCTTTTATAAATGCTCTACATGTATTTAAAGTTAAAGAAATGCTGGTGGTAAATGCCAAAACGTAAATAACAAAAAGGCAGCGAGAGGTATAAAGATGAATATTGGATCTTTATTAAGGCTCTACAGTAGTGGACAGCATCGGATAATAACCCGGTGTAAAGGCCCACGTGGTGATGCAGAATTAAAGAAATCATCCTGTAATTTTACAACTATGCTGAAAAAATGTGACTCGCCTTTAAATAATGACGGACATGGAGAAGTAAACCTGTGACAGTACACAACAGTGTGATGTCAGCATTTAGGCCATTATTAAAACAACAGGCTATATTCTCTCTCAGAGCTGTAACATCACGTATAAAATGTGTATTAATATTATAAAATGTTTTAGATTTATAAAACTATGGAGGATTTCTTGTGTCTTTTATTTGCTTGTGTTATTACAGTTAAAAAAGGAGAGCGTTTATGAAAAGTAAAGACACGTAAAGGAGCAGATGATGACATAAATTCACCAAAGCCTCAAAACCTGCATTTATGGCTCACAAAAATTTATATTTAAGTAAAAAACAGAATTTATGTCGATGCAATTTTTATTTTTTGACACAATAAATCCTGTAGTTTGATTCTTTGTTACTAAAAAGAAATATTCAGTGTTGTCTTAATATGATTTGTGGGGTTCCATTTTTGCCAATTAACACATAATCCTACATTTCTGGACATTTCTGGAATTAGTAGCGTGTTGAGTTTATGGCGAAAGTGTGGCCGAATTAATGAATAGAAGCTGTAAAAGAAATTTAGCAGCAACAGATAAAAATATGCTGATTATTCTTTCTTCAGACTTCAGCTTCACATATACGAAGAATGTGGTACAAATACGTTTTTTTCATGCATAAAATACATCAAAAATAATAATTTATAATAACTTGAAGTATTATATTTTGGTCTTTAAAGGCAGTAAAACGCACAAATCAGCCAAACACAACCAAAATATCAAAGATATTTCAGCGCAAATGCATATTTACTGAACACAGAGCACTGAGCCTCATTATCTTCCAAATTTCTAAATTACTAATATATGTATTTGTATATATATTTATTATTAAATGTTGTTTGAGTTTTGCTTTAGTTTGGAAAAGCTAAAGCAGAACTGGTCATGTCCCCTTTTAAAACCCAGAATTTTTTAAAAGTATTTATTTATTTTATGAATTAATGTATTTATTTATTTATTGATTCATTAAATAATCTGTTAAGTGCCATCTACTGAATAATGTCATATGTGTATGTGTTGATAATTTCACTAATGTGCAAAAAATATTGACTGAAATATTCTTCAGTTTTTACATTCCTTAACTGTCACCTGATTATCTGGCATAATCCATAATCTTCTGTGATTTCCATGAGAACAGATAGTTTTAATTCTTCTTTAATAATTCCCATCTTGTTATATGTATTTGAATAAACTGGTTATCCCTGTAAAGCCACACACAGACAGATACACCACGCAGGCAGACAAATCCAAATCCTAACTCTCCCACCTTAAATTCATTCATTCATATCTGTCAGATTTGTGTGCCTGTCATGTCGTCATGCGTGACCACACTGAGCCCTGTTGGGTTCAATTGATAATAACTGACCAATTCAAGTGGCCACTTCTGGGAATTGTAATGGCCGCTCTTCAAAGAGGCTTGACCTGAAACTGGGACACCGGGGTGTCAGAGGTCACGCATGAAGACCAGCAGGGAGCAAATATTTGTCCTTCCTTCTGTCATGACCTCAAATTAGCGCCTAATAGCACTTGATTGTGATAAGTTAGTTTTTTGTGATAATGGGGGGTAGTTTCCAGAGAACAAATATAGTGAACACTGACATGTAAAAATCTACGTCTATAATCCTGCTACAATATTTTATCACGTCTGGAAATCCTTGTGAAGACTGAACATTTCAAAATGTATTCATGATTTGAGCTGCATTACAAGATCAGCAGGTGTCTACACTGCAGCTCTCTTGAATCTATATGAATTTCTTGGTGCTATTTAAGCGACTGCAGCAGCATTATAGATGTGTTGATACGCTTATAGGGATGTAAAGCGCTATTGGTTTCCTTAGTCAAAGAGTGCTGCCTCATCTGCTGCAGACACAGCTGCATGATGGGAGCATTTTTCACTGGGAATAAAAATGCATATACAGTAAGCAGTTTATAAAAATGCCATGTTTTAGCTCATTAATACATCAATAAATTCATTCTGCTATTACAGACACAAGTCCCACAAAAACTAATAATAGGTGAGTAAGGAGATCTTTTTGTGTCACCTAAAGCCTCTTGCATTAGGCTGACGTGACCAAATAAAGGCCTGCTACTGTACTTTATACACTTAACAGCAATGATGTATTGGCCTAATGCAAAAGCTTTCAGGAGAGCAGCACATAACTGTATCAATAAGGTAAACCTGTGCTGGAATAAAACCTCCAGACTCATAAAAGACATCAAAGATGCTGAGGCATGCAGCACATTTCTCGCAGGTTTAGGCCTGCAGGCAGGAAGCAAGAGACAAAGTGCAGGTGCCACATGGACATCATCATCCCCACATCAGGAAGGCTCACATTCAGGAACAGAAAGCAAAAAAATGGCTAAATCTGTAGATTAATTCAGCATATTTTAAAACCACAAAAACACTTTTAAAATAATTTTAAATTTAAATTAAACACTGTTGAAATTAAAGAAAACATCCACTTACTGGAGCTTCTTGTGATGCCCAGAGAGACTGGGAGATGTTGGTTCATTCCCCTCCACGTGAAAACAGACTGGTGCTCGCGCTGCTTTCCTGGTTTAATTGGGAACAGGCTGAAGTTTATGCTAATGAGCGCTGACATCAGTCTTAACAGCCTCCACTCCATAAAGGAGAGGAGCAAAGGGCCAAAGTCGCGCCTCTTTTCCCAGGCAGTTCAGCCGGTCAAGTTCAAGCACAGCGCCAGTGCGCACCGTTTGTCATTCAAAACACGTTAATGCACAGAGCAAATGCATTTGGGGGGAGGTGGTGATGCACTGTATGTAGGCTTGGGCACATTTACATATGCAGCTTATCAATTATAACAATTGCAATTTATCCGTACTGAAGGAAAAACACTCCAAAACAATGTGCTCTTTTTTTTAAAATTTAAAGCAGCATTTCAAGACAAAATGAGGAAAATATAGTTTCACTTTGAGATTTGTCCAAGAAAAAAAAGACAATATGGAGCAAAATCTGATTTTACGAATAATAAATAAATAAATAAATACAGGCATGTAAATATTTGTTTTTAAAATTTAGTGGCATTCACTGGTATTTACCGGAATTTATAAAGTGTTTTTGACAATTCTGTATTTTTATAGATGGATAATGTCACCAGAAATCCTCTCCTGGGCATGCTTATGGATTTACAAAACATGAGCTTCTTCTTATCATTAAAAATAAGGATGATGATGTGAGTCCAGGTTAAATACATTATTTCATACATTTCCTTTAAATGAAAAATACAGGCTTCATAAATATATGTACATATCATAGAGGAGGAGATGTAGATTAAGAACAAAATAATGGGTTTAAGATTTTTAAGATCAAAAATAAGTGAGTAAGAGTTTGTGTAAAGAGAGAGATGTATTGTTCATTTGAATTATGCACATACAGAGAGGGAAAAGACATACAGTACAATCAAGCCCTTTAGGTGCCAACTGACACTTGTGCATGCCTTTGTGTGCAAGCACATCACCCATCTGTGCCCGCTGGATCATCCCTGGGATCATCTATGCCACAAACACTCAGCGAAATAGAATTAGCAGCATACATTTGCGTAATTACAGTATAAGTGCTCGACGAATCATG